GAAATGTGATCATGACAGCAGGGCTAGGACAGGAAATGTGATCATGAAAGGAGGGCGAGGACAGAAATGTGATCATGAAAGCAGGGCTAGGACAGGAAATGTGATCATGACAGCAGGGCTACGACAGGAAATGTGAGCATGACAGCAGGGCTAGGACAGAAATGTGATCATGACAGCAGGATAGGATAGAAATGGCAAGAGACTGGAAGGTGAGAACTGAGTACTCTAAATGCATTAGGGTTTGTTCTAGTGCTGCTCCTGACCACACCAATTGAAATGCAAACCTACTATTGCTGGGCCTTTTCTCCACTATTGCCTGTGGAAGTAACCAGAGAGTACATTCTCTGATTTTCAATCTTTTGTAGAATAATAATCTGGGGTTCTTTGTTCATGATGGGATTCTAAATGGCGCACTGGAAGTGGTCCACCATCAGAACCCTGGCAGGAAGTTTGCTGGCAGGTCAAATAGGCTGCTTTCAAAGTGGTTGTAGTTCCTGTTACTGTATTATAGTTCCATTTGTAACAATTAAAATCAATCCTGATGAAGGGTGTAAACCCGAAACGTCGACTTTCCTGCTCCTCTGATGCTGCCTGGCCTGCTGTGTTCCTCCAGCTCCACACTGTGTTGTCTCTGGCTCCTGCATCTGCAGCTCTTGCTATCTCCAAGTACTGAGAATCAATCCTTTTAGATTTTTGCTCCTGATCAACTTAATTTTAATATTTAATTATAATATTCCCATAAAACAATGAGGAATTAATAAAATATTACTGTTTGATCTATAATGTTGGTAGCATTGCTGGATTTATTTCATTATTTATTCCTTCCAGCTATGTAGATATAATTTAGCATTGCATGAATGTAATAATGTTTACACAAAAATATCATGAAAAGTATGAAGGTGCAACACCTGATGTGAATTATTGAAGCCTGTGGAGTTTGTCAGCGAGTTGCTTCCTGTGTAAATTCCTGATGCTGATGTGAAGCATCCCCCTGAAAAAGAAAATTTTTGTCAGACTTTTATATTCTTCCAGAGAATCTCATCCTTGCATCTTGGGTAAACAAATGAGTAAGATATACCGCAGGTCAGAACATAAAATGCCACAGTGCATAATGATTGGCTGGTTTATTTCCCAGTTACCATTTCTGGATTCTCACACCCATTAACTCATTCACAGGATGTGAGCATCCCCCACAAACTCAGCATTTCTCAAATGGTTTGCTCGGTCATTTCAGAGGATACTACAGAGTCAGATACACTGCTGTGAGTCTGGATTCCCATTCAGAGCCAAACAATTACATACAGCAGTTTTCGAAAAGCTATTAATGAATCATATGGGGTTTGAAAACAATTCTGTAATGGCAAGGGCTCCGTTACTGATATCGGCTGTTTATTCGAGATTTCCATGCCTACTCCCTGCCCCTCCCCCCACAGCTGCCTTAATAGGATTTAAACTTAATTTCCAGCTGACCAGCCCAGTAACATAACCACAACACTACCACACCCACTGATATCACCTGATATGATGGTGCCTTGAGAAGAAGTATTCAAAGATTGAAAAAAAACATGATTACATGATTGTTTCCATTTTGGAAAGGAATCTAAGATTTTTTTTCTGAAGATTCTAAGCTCATTTTGGAATCAGATAATTCCACAAGCTCAAGATTTTACTTTAGAGCTTCATGATGCTCGTCAGGGTTCAGAGGAAGTTAATGTCCCCGAACTGAGTGGCTGAAAGCTAAACCAGGTCTAATCTTTACCCCAGATCTGCCTCCATGATGAATCAATTAAGTGTCACTCTGTATATCTCTGTACGTATAGCAGAGGGGCTACCTTAAATGCAAGTACACAACTATATACAGTGTACATATACAACTCATCCCTCTTTGGATACAGGCCTGGAATGCCAAAAGAATCCACAACTAGTTTCAACAATTATTTCTCCTTACGAAGCCCCACGATTTATTTCCTTAGCAATGTTCCCAGAAGGCAGGGAGAGCCATCAATATTTAAACTTAGATAACAAGGTGTAGAGCTGGATGAACACAGCAGGCCAAGCAGCATCAGAGGAGCAGGAAGGCTGACGTTTCGGGCCTAGACCCTTCTTCAGAATTGAAAGGCATTAAAAATACTTTTGATCCCTGCAATGATTCTATAGCATTCTCTGAGTCTGTACAACGCTGTTGCATCTGTTTGGATGATGCCACTTTCCACCAGGCTGCCTCCAACCCGGCCAGCTTTTATCCTCAACCGAGGACTCCCCTCTCTCTCTCTCTCTGAGGTTGACAGAGCCTTCAACTGTGTCCAACCCATCTCCTGCAATTCTACACTCACCTCTTCTCCTCCCTCCCAAAACCAAGATGGGGTTTCCTTATCCTCATGTATCTACCCACCAGTCTCAACATTCAAAGGATGTCATTTCTACCACTCTAGCAGGTGGGCCATCCTTCTCTCCATGGTCAGTATTCTGCAGGGACTGTTCCCTCCCTGACACCCTCGTTCACTTGTCCCTCACTCTTAACACTTTCTCATGCTCCTGTAGCACCTTCTCATGTAATCACAGAAGGTATAACACTTGCCCATTCACCTCACTGTCCGAGGACTTAAACACACCTTCCAGCTTCCAGCTAGTCTACTGCATTAGCTGCTCACAACATGGTTTCCCTTACATCGGCAGGACCAAATGCAGACTGGGAGACCTTTTCATTGAACACCTCCACACTGTCCATAGGAATGACCCTGACCTCCCAGTTACTCACCATTTCAATTAGCCACCTTGTTCTCATGCTAACAATTCTGACCTGGGCCTGCTGCAATGTTCCAACAAAACACAATGCAAGCTTGAGAAACAACATCTCACTTTCCACATTGACACTCTCCAGTCTCGCAGTTTCAACATCAAATTCAATAATTTCAGAAACTGACTGATTTATGTCTGCCCTCCATTTTTCTTAGATCTCTTCCCTTCTTCGTTGATGTATCTTGTTTCCTTTGCACTTAGTAGCAAGGACACATCCTCTCCCTTTCACACCTTAATTTACAGCTTTTTATACAACTCTTTTCTTCTTTCTCCACTATTCACAGTCCCCTTGTCTTTTGCACAGGGCCTCGACACCATCTGTTCCCCTCCCTCCTCCTCTGCCTCTGTCAAAAGTAAACAAAACTATTTTCCAAAAAACTTTCAGTTCTGAAGATATCATACTAAACTTGAAACATAAGCTTTGTTTCTGTCTCCAAAGATGCTGCCAAACTTGCTGAGTTTCTCCAGCATTGCCTGTGTTTTCCTCAGTGGTGCTGCAGCGGTTTGATACAACTGAGTAGCTTGCTCGGCCAAATGAGGGCAGTTAAGAACTAATATACTGCTGGAGTCACATATAGTCCAGCTAAGATAAAGATGGCAAGTTTCGTCCCCTGAAGGACATCAGTGAACCTGATTGTGCTTTTGTTTTGCAATAACCCATTGGTTTTATGATCATTATTAGAGTCATAGAATCCTACAGCACGGAGACAGGCCCTTCGGCCCAAACTGGACCATGCCAATTAAAATGTCCATCCATGCTAACCCCATTTCTCTGCACTTGGCCCATATCTTTCTAAACCTTTCTTATCCATGTATTCGTCCAAATGCCTTTTAAATGTTGTTAATGTACCCACCTCAACCACTTCCGCTGGCAACTCATTCCATATGCGTACCGCCCGCTGTGTGAAAAAGTTGCCCCTCAGGTTCCCATGTATTCTTTCCCCTCTTACCGTCAACTGGTCTAGTCCTTGATTTTCCAACCCTGGGAAAAAGTCAGAGCGCATTCACCCTATCCATGCCTCTCATGACCTTATACACTTCTATAAAATCCCCCCTCAGTCTCCTACGCTCCAAAGAAAAAAATCCTAGCTTGTCCAACCTCTCCCTATAAGTCTGTCCCTTGAGTCCTGGCAACATCCTTGTAAATTTCTTCTGCTTCTTTCAAATTTAATAATATCCTCCCTATAGCAAGGTGACCAAAACTGAACACAATACTCCAAGTGCGGTCTCACCAACGTCATGTACAACTGCATTATAACTTCCTAACTTCTAGACTCATTACCCTGGCTGATGAAGGCCAGGGTGCCGAAAGCTTTCTTCACTGCCCTGTCTACCTGTGACTCCACTTTCAGAGAACGGTGCACCTGAACTCCAAGGTCCCTCTGTTCCACTACACTCCTTAAGGCCCTACCATTGACCATGAAACTCCTATCTTGATTTGACTTTCCAAAATGCAACACCTCACATTAATCTACATTAAACTCAATTTGCCATTTCTCAGCCCACTTCCCCAGCTGATCAAGATCCTGCTGCAATTTCTGATAATCTTTTTCACTGTCCACGATACCGCCTATTTTAGTGTCATCCGCAAACTTACTAATCATGCCTTGTACATTCTCATCCAAATCATTGGTGTAGATAACAAACAGCAATGGGTCCAGCACTGGCCCCTGAGGCAGACCACTAGGTACAGGCCTCCAGTCTGACAAGCATCCATCCACTGCTACTCTCTGCTTCCTACCATTAAGCCAACTGTGTATTCAATTTGCCAGCTCTCCCTGGATTCCATGTGATCTAACCTTCCAGAGCAGCCTACCTTGTGGAACCTTATCAAAGGCCTTCCTGAAATCCATACAGACTATGTCTACCACCCTGCCCTCTTCAACCTTCCTGGTCACTTCATCAAAGAACTCTAATAAATTTGTGAGACATGATCTCCCATGCACAAAGCCACGCTGATACTCCTAATCAAACCCTGTCTTTCCAAATGCATGTATATCGTATTCCTCAGAATCTTCTCAAGTAACTTACCTACCACAGATGGTAAGCTGACTTGTCTATAATTCCTAGGCTTTTCTTTGCAGCCCTTCTTGAATAAGGGCACAACATTCGCTACCCTCCAGTCTTCTGGGATTTCATCCGTGGCTAATGGTGCTGCAGATATATCAGCCAGGATCCCTGCAATTTCTTCTCTAGCCTCTTGTAAGGTCCTTGGATATATCTGATCAGGACCAGGAGATTTATCCACCTTCATATATTCTAATACTTCCAACACCTCCTCTACTGTGATACAGACTGTCCCCAAGATATCGCCACTAACTTCCCCAAGTTCCCAAGTCTTCAAGTCTTTCTCCGTGGTAAATACACAGAGGACCTCATCCATCTCCTGCAGTTTCACACATACATGTCCCCTTTGGTCCTTGAAGGTCCTATACTCTCTCTAGTTAATCTTTTTCCTTTAATACACTGGAAGAATCTCTTTGGGTTCACCCTAATTTTCTCAGCCAAACCTATCTCATGCCCCCTTTTCACCCTCCTGATTCCCTCCTTCAGTAAACTCCTATATACCTCCAGGGATTCCCTTGATCCCAGCTGCCTGTTCCTGAGCCATGCCTCCTTCCTTCTCTTTTTCTGGTCAAAGCTTTAATACCTCTTGTCATCCAGGGTTCCTTACTCCTGCCAACCTTGCCCTTTACCCTCACAGGAATATATAGACCTTGAACTCTAGCTATCACACTTTTAAAGGCCTCCCACTTGCCAGCGGTCCCTTTGCCCACAAACAAACTACTCCAATCAACCTCTGCAAGCTCCTGTCTAATTCTATCCAAATTCACCTTGCCCCAGTTTAGAACTTGAACCTGTGGACCAGTTTTGTCCTTCTTCCATAACTATTTTAAAACTAATAGAACTATGGTCGCTGGTCCCAAGTGCTCCCTCACTGTCACCTCAGTCACCTGTCCTGTCCTATTTCCCAACAGTAGGTCGGGTTTTGCCCCTTCCCGAGTAGGATCCTCGATATACTGCTTGAGAAAACTTTCCTGAACACATTTAACAAATTCCACCCTGTCTAAGTCCTTAACACTATGGCAGTCCCAGTCTATGTTAGGAAAATTAAAATCCTCCACTATGACAACCCTATGGCTCCTGCAAGTCCCCTCAGTCTCCCTGCATATTTGTTCCTCTAATTCCCGT